CTGTGATGAAGGACAGCTGGTGTTTCTAACAGCTGGGCCGCACGATTGCCCTGACTGGCAGGGCCCCCCCCCCCCCCCCACCGAACCAGGAGAGGCTGAAAACTCATCTGGGGGAGGAGCCTGGGCCTGGCACACAACGTTTTGGGGGAGGGAAGGGGTCTGCGGTAAAGGTCACGCTCCTGGACCGAGCGGGTGAGCTGGTGCCAGGACAGGGGGCCGGCTTTCCCGGGTTGAGGATCAGTGAGCGGCCGTGACTTTCCGTGTCTGTGACCTGACAGGAGGGAGGGAGCCCCTTCAGCCCCCCCCCCTGAGCTGCTTGCCTAGGGCAGAGTTTTGGGGGGTCGCTACGTGGTCTTGCTCAGGACTCCATTCAGTGACCGCTGGCAGTGAGTGGCCACGAACAGAGACATCTGGGCGGCTCACTTGGGGTCCCCGCTTGACCGGCTGGAGGGCTCTGTCCCTGCCCCTACCCACAAAGCTCTCCTTCCAGCCTGTCCCCTCCCCCTCCTCCCTGGGGGAGGGCGTGGGTCACAAAGTCCGCTTTTCTCTCCCCGTCCCCCAGATGTCCGGGCTTGCGCCTCGACCCCCTGCGCTAACAACGGAACCTGCGTCAACCTCGAGAGCGGCCACTACGAGTGCTCCTGTGCCCCTGGGTTCTCGGGAAAGGACTGTCAGGAGAAGGATGGGCCCTGTGTGATCAATGGGTAAATATTCTTCCTCACTCTGTGCGATCCGATGAATGCTGCTTTGATTCCTGCGTCACACCCCCAAAGACCCTTTCAGCCTAGCCCCGTTGGACCTGTCACCTGACAAAAGGCCAAGTAAGTGCCTGTCCCGCAGCCCCACGGCTGGGAGAGGGGGGCGCCCCAGATCAGGGTGCTTGCGGGGCTGTGTGTGATCTCCGTAATTCCTGACGTGACCCCCCCCAAGGTGATTTCCTCTTCCCTCTGATGCCCCCAAGTCCCCATGTGTGTGCGTGAGGGCAGACCCGGCTGAGGAGTCGGAGAGGGGGGCTTTGGCCAGCGGGGTGGGCGGGGAGGACTAGCCATGAGGGTGGGGGGCGGGTCCAGCTCTTAGCGACCCGCAGCGGAGCAGAGGCTCTGGGACTTTCAGGGCTGTGGGCACGACAGTCAGAAGGGACACTTCTGCAAAGCAGCAAAGCACTTCCGGCCCTTATCTGTTTAGCTCCACTGAGCCCACCCGGCCCTCAGCTGGGGCTTAGGCGGGGCTTAGGCCGCTGCAAGAATGCAAACAGAGCGGGTCCTGGGCCCGAGCTGGGGTTGGGGGGGATCGAGCTGGGGGGCAGAGGATAGAGAAGCTAGAGTACAGAACCAGCTTATCTTGACTGGGCGTTCCAGGGAGGGCGTGGGGAATCCTGGAGCCTGCGAGGCCACAAACAGGCATTTTTGTAGCATCCAGAGATCAGTGTTCAGAGAGGGTCGGAGGAGAGGGGGTCACAACCGACGTCCACGTCTGCTTTTGAGCGGGAAGGGAGAATACAGAGCAAGACCTTTAAAACGTTTTGCTTTTTCTCTCCCACCAACTCGAACCAGACTGTCAAAATAGAACCCGAGGTCCTTGAAGTCCCTCCAGAGCCCAGCTCCTAGGCAGCCTTCACCCCCTGAAGCAGCGATGCCGATTTCTTGTGCTTAGAGCCCCTTTCTTCCCTGGGTTCTGGCATTTATCAGATGACAAAGGGTCTGCTCGTTTCAAAGCACTTACGTTAAATGCTCCTGTGCTCTGCTTTGAGCAAACAGTTTCGGGCTGGAAGCCGCACTTGGGTGAATGGACCACTGTTAAACAGCCGGGCACAGGCACCCGGCCGGGCCGGCAGAGACAGCCCGGGGGTTTCTTTCACTCTGAGTGTCCCTAAGGGTTTCCAGTACAATAGTACGCAGGCTCTCTCCTCGGGGAAAATAATGATACGAGTAACAATAAGGCGGGGGCCGTGTGGTGAGGGGACCTGGGTGGGGGGGGGGGGGGGCCCGCTCTCCCCCCCGGCCCCCCGGGGGGGGGGGGGGAGCTAAGGGAGGGGGCTCCCTCCAGCCCTGGGTCATCACTAACTTTGCCTCTCTCAGCCTCAGTGTCCCCACCCGTCCACCAGTGACTAACCACCAGGCCTCTGGTCGGAGAGATGACTTAAGAGGTGGGAGAGGAGACGGGCATCGGCTCGGCAGGCCAGGCGTGCGTGCGTCCGCGCCGGACGGCCCGTGAGCCCCTCGCGGACAGGGGCCGCGGCACCCGGCGCCTCCCTGGGCACCTCCGTCCTAGGCCAGCCCCCGAGGGCCCTTTACCGTGTCCCCCTGTTGTGTCGCAGGTCCCCCTGCCAGCACGGAGGCACCTGCGTGGATGACGAGGGCCGGGCCTCCCATGCCTCCTGCCTGTGCCCCCCTGGCTTCTCAGGCAATTTCTGCGAGATCGTGGCCAACAGCTGCACCCCCAACCCGTGCGAGAACCAAGGCATCTGCACCGACATCGGGGGCGACTTCCGCTGCCGCTGCCCCGCCGGCTTCATGGACAAGACGTGCAGCCGCCCCGTGGGCAACTGCGGCGCCGACCCGTGCCTCAACGGGGGTACCTGCCTGCAGCACACCCAGGTGAGGTACGAGTGTCTGTGCAAGCCCGAGTTCACGGGCCCCACCTGTGGCAGGAAGCGCGCGCCAGGCCCCCAGCAGGTCACCCGTCTGCCCGGCGGGCACGGGCTGACCTACCGCCTGACCCCCGGGGTGCACGAGCTGCCGGTGCCGCAGCCGGAGCACCGCATCCTCAAGGTGTCCATGAAGGAACTCAACAAGAGTGCTCCCCTCCTCTCCGAGGGCCAGGCCATCTGCTTCACCGTCCTGGGCGTGCTGACCAGTCTGGTGGTGCTGGGCACCGTGGGAGTTGTTCTCCTCAACAAGTGCGAGGCCTGGGTGTCCAACCTGCGCTACAACCGCGTACTTCGCAAGAAGAGGAACGTGCTCCTGCAGTACAACAGCGGGGAGGATCTGGCCGTCAACATCATCTTCCCCGAGAAGATCGACATGACCACCTTCAGCAAGGAGGCGGGCGAAGACGACATCTAAGCATCCCCACCGGCCCCTCTGTATTCGCGGGGTCCCGCAGCGCTCACTATATGCGGTCTGTTCTCATCTTTGTGGTGGAGTTTGCTATATTCTGTGTCGAATCCGGTGAACGCTATGCTTCCGTATATTACCTTTGTGTTGCCGTGTGACAAAAAGAACCCTCTTTCTCTCTCTTGATGCATGATCGAAAAATAATAACACGAGTTTCATCTTTAAATGAGTAAAACGAAATTAAGTATGTTATTCTAAACTCTAAACTTAACGTAAAATCAAAAAGACCAAAAAAAAACAAGGCAACAGAGCCGGGGCTGGGTGCCGACGCCCCTCTCTCTCCGGGAGGGGACTCGGCCACGGTCCTCGTGAAACCATTACGAGTGCCGCGCATGACCACTCACTGTGATAAAGGCAAAAATCTCTCTCGTTCGTTAATGTTCACACGCCCCATCCAACGTGCACTCACATCAAGTCCAACAACCGCAACGCTTAGATCTTTCCGATTGATTTGAGATTTTGCGGAGTGCAGCGGCCGTGTGTCAGACAGAGAGAGAGAGCCCCGGGGTCGGCTGCTGGGGGGAGGGAGGGGGCCAGGACCCCGTCCCAGCCCTGCCACTAACTCGCTGTGTGATCCTTGGCGAGCTCCCCCCCCCCCCCACCGCAACCCGTCCCCACCCCGGGCCCGAGGGCCCGACTTCGGCCCCTCTCGAGGGAGGGGCTTGAACGCAGAGACCATCCAAATTCTCTCTGGCTCTAAAACTCTGAATTAGGAACGAAGGGGTACGAACCAAAACAGTTCCCGACCCGAGAAATTAGGATCTGATGAGGACTTAAGTCTCATCCCAGGATCCACAGGTTTTGGCCTATCCTGGATGCAAACTTGATGTACTGAGATTGATCGCAACTGCCTTTCTCGAAATGGAGGTGGGGGGGGGGTGCCTCCTGGCCCGCTTTCCGTCTGGAAACGAGTGGCCCCCTTTGAGTCACAAAGTGCGGTCTGGAGTTGCCACTTGGGCAGCCCCCACCCTCCCAGATTCCCAGCACTTTACCTTGTCTCCCACCCCGTAGGTTAGATAGTCCCTCGAAATTTAAATGCACCTCTAACCGCAAGTGCCCCTGGCAAAATCTGAGCAGCAACACCGCCCTCACCGAGGTTTTCACAGAGTTTAAGTGGAAATTGTTGCCTGTGGGGCGTTTTCTAGTTCTGTGGCCAAAGGTACCAGACCTGGTCTACACAGCTATGGGTTTAATTTGTGTTGCTGAGTTAACAACCCTCAGATCCTGAAAGACCTAGCCAGCTTCTGAATTATAAATTCGACTTCTTTTTTATTAAAAAGAGCATCTATTTTTTTTGCAAAAATAGAAAGAAATGGGACAGAGCTCTGTTTAGCTTTCCGGCTCTTAGGGTCGGGCAGCTAAACAGCCCTTGGGTACCAGTGAGAAATATTTTGCTTCTTAAATTATTTGGATAGGAAGCTATACTCTTAGCTTGATTATTACTTGCCGAGTTTACCTAGCTGCAAGTACGTATTGCTATGTCATCCTCACCATCTTCCTGATCATTCAGTTCACCCCACACGCATAGACGCGCGCCGTCATCACATAGCCATCGACATCACCGTCAGCCACCGATCACTGTCACGTCCCTGGCCACGCCCCCCAGCTGCCCACGTCCCAGCCAAGCCGCTGGCCCCGTCGCCCCCAGTCCCCGAGCCCTCCCACCCCCCACCCCCGCCCCGGACTCCGATCGCCCTCACCCCACTTCCCTCCAGCCCCACGTCATTCACGTATCACCTCATCCCATCTCGAGTTCGTCTTCAGACATAAAAAATTGAAAAAAGACAAAAAAAAAAAGAACCGTTGGCATGCGTCAGGCGGGCGTCTGGCACCCCGCCTGGCCTCTCTCGCGTGAGACCTTGACCGAGTCTGCTAACTGTTCTGATCCAGTTCCCCCACACATGAGATTCTGAGATTGGCCCCAGCGATCCAATTCTCTGTTCCACTCTTTCCATCTCCGTGCTGTCGAGGATCGGCCCGTCCCCCCTTCCCGGGGGTCGAGGGAACGTATCCCGCTGTCCTCGACCAGCTCCTCATCGATTCACCGACTCGTCCACCAGCCATTTGATCAGGAAGCATTTCGGACACCTGCTGCGTGCAAGGCAGTGTTCGGGGAGCTGTGCGGCACGCAGGATGAGGGGCCGTCGGCGGGGGGGGGAGCGGACACACCCGTGTCCCCAGGAAGCCCAGCAGTGCAGGTAAAATGCCGTGGGAGCGGAGAGTCCTGAACAGACGCCTCCCTTAGGGCCTGACCATCTTACCTTCCCACGAGACAAATTATCTATTACCAGCGCACGATGAGGCTGCCCCACCCAAATTCCACAGCGCCCACTCACACACGTCCCGCGAAATCAGAACAGTGTCCGCAGCCTCGACACGGTCTTCACGTCGTGCAGAAATGGTCCATTCCATCCTCTATGGGGTAACCAGATTCTGCTGAGAGTGTCGGGATCCCTGACTGCCCATCCACACCTCGCGTGTGTTTGGAGTAGCGTGTAGTTTACGAAACAAACGGAGAAGCTCAAAGACAGCGGTCTGAGACATAATCACCAATTCGGTCCCAAAATTGAGAGAGGAGGAGGCGTAATGATCTTTCTGTCACCAAAAAATTTCAAAAATGTCAACGGCGCTCTTTTTAGCTTTTCCGTTTACTAACCAGGCAAGCAAAAAATTTTGTTTATTGAAAAATAAACAAAACCCAAGGGCTATTGGTGTGTTTTCTTTGATTTGTTGTGCGCCCGGCTCCGGCTGTCCCTGCCCACTGGTGGCCTTAGCCCCGAGCAAGAGGGGTCAGGGGCCCAGGCTTGGGAGGGCACCGCTCTGACCCTATCCAGCCCTTCCCACGTGGCGAGGAGACCTACGGGCTGAGGGATGAGCCCATCCAGGCCCTTCCAGATACACTCTCTCCCGGTGCTTGGAGCGTGGGAATTTCCGGCCCTGTCGGCCCCACCCCGAGGGCCTGTGCGGGCCTCTCCCCTGCATCTGTTCCCGACGACGGTGGCTGTTTGTGGGTGGGGTGGCTGGGGCTGGAGCTCCAGGGAGAGGGGGTGAGGGGCCCAGGGTTCCATGCTTGAGCACGCTGGGGGGGTGGTGCAGGAGGAAGGCCAGCTCTCCCACTACTCACCAGGTCCTGGCCCAGAACCCTCGGGGGTTTGAGAATGCCACCCTGTTCTGGCCCTTCCAGAACTCAGTGAAGGTAGAATCGCCCAGGTGAGGGCAGAACGGATTTTGTTTGACACTGAGGGGCACTTGGAGCTTCCAAAGGTCGGCACATCAGTCTAGGAGCCCCGTGTACACTGCTGACTTGGGCCCCGCACGGGGACAGGGGGACTTGCCTCTCTTCCAGGCCTGGCCTCGGGCCACAGGTTTACTCCCTCAGCTCAGTACGGCCACCCCTTTGAGTCCCCATGTCGTGTCGGCAATGCACGTGCCTGACCACCCACCCGAGAGGGGCCGGCCGGACCCCTCCCCCTGGACACAGGAGCTGCGGTCCAGTCCTTGATCCCTGCTGGCCCAGGAGGTGGCCCTGGGGCAGGGTCCCCTCCCCACTTCCTTCCACTGCCTGCCCTTCCTCTCCAGGGCTGTCCTCAGCCAGGACACTGCCACTGCCCACCCAGCTGTCCAGCCAGGACCCGGGTGTCCCCGAGACACCTCCCCCCTCAGCTCTGTGGTGCTCTGCTCTCAGCTGGTGTGTGTGTGGGGGGGGTGGGGGGTTCCCATTAAGGCCGGGGACACACGAGAGGGACAGACAGGGGGCACACCTCAGAGATGGGTGCCGTTCCGAAAACTGTAAGAAAACAAGAGAATGAGGTTGAGGTAACAGATGTAGAAACTTCCAAGAAAGGGATGAATTTTCCGGGAAAACATCGATTAACAAAATGTGATCGGGAACAGACCGATCACCTGGGAGAAGACCCCCCCCCCAGGTGGGGCCAGCTGTCAGTTACCTGACTTCGGGTCCCCAACATTTGACCCTTTGACTGAGCAGGAGGTGCCCAGGCAGAGACACGGTTCTGGAGCCACGAAAAACAGAAGGGGAAGACTTCTCGATTCTTTTTCAAGGCCAGGAGAAACCTGCCAAAGGGAACGCAAGGAAAGGAAAGTCACTGTCCTCACTCCGAACAGAGAGACAAAAATCCTCAGTAAAATAACAAATCAAAACCAGGCAATGATGGAAGCTTCCTGGAGGACAGTGAGGATGGAGAGAGGCCGGGCCCCCAGCCCGGAGCAGCCGGCAGGGTGGCCCCAGGTAGGAGCTGGGTTCCACCGCAAGCCACGGGCGTGGGGACGACCGCTAAGCCCCTGCGTCTGATGTCAGGCCCTGTGGCTTTCTGGCCTTTAGCCGCTCTCTCCCACTGCTGAAGAAGAAAGCATTCGCCCACACCTCCCACCCAAGACCCTCAGGAGTTCACAGGAGGGAGGAGGTAAAGACCCAGGCACCCCAGTCGGCGGGTCGCGGGGGTCGGGAGCTCCCAGCTAATTCGCAACTGCCAGGGGCTCCGCTTTGAAGTGCGTTTGGCCCCGGATGTGGCTGTGCCACGACCACGGTGAAGGTGCAAACGTAAGACTGGACGAAGTTTCAGCCCAAAACTAGATCAAAAGAAAAAAAATATACATATGATACCAATTCAAGGGAATCGGTGCTAAAAGGAATTGGATAAAATACTTTCCTGATTTTTTTTTTTTTTAAATCCAAGCAACTAGGAAAAAAGGACATATATCCTTAATGTCACAGAGGATGTCTGTCTTAAACAATGTGTAGTATCCCACTGATGATTAAAGTCGAAGGCAGGTAAGGCCGTGCTTTATACAGCAGCTGAGGACTCTGGCTGTAGAGTCGTAGAGGCCTGGCTTTCTGTGTGGCTCTGTCCTTGAGCCTTCTACTGCCTGAATTTTTACTTCTTCCTCTGCAAAGGAGAAGTGTCACGGTCAGCTCGGACAACCAGAGCAAAATCCCGTAGACCTGGGGCTCACGCAACAGACACTTATTTGTTCTGGGTGGTTGGGTTCTAGCGAAGGCCCTCTCCGTGGCTTCCAGATGGCCGCCATCTTGTTGCGTCCTCACGCGGCAGAGAGAGAGACAGAACGCGAGCTCTCTGGTCTCTTCTTACAAGGACACTAATCCCATCCTGAGGACCCTCACGACCTAATTACCTCCCAAAGGCCCCAA